CCCCAAAACCCCAAAACCCCAAAACCCCAAAACCCCAAAACCCCTTTTGCGGCAGTAAAACAGAAGGTCATATTATAAAATAAAATGGATAAAGGTAGCAGTGAGGGAACTCCCATAGAGATCATTCCAGGCCATCTCTACTGGATCTCTGCTAAGAAATCCCCAAACTCTAAGGCTTCTGCTTTCTTCTTCAACGTAGATGATGATCTGGTTTATGAACCCTTTCACAAAGACTTTGGGCCGCTCGATCTTGCCAAAGTGCACAGGTTTTGAATTGAATTACAAAACGTGCTTAACGTTGATGAATATAAGAAAAGTAAAATTTATCACCACACTTCTCTTGACAAAGAGAAACAATCAAATGCTGCTTTCTTAATGGGCGCATTCATGATCATAGTGCTAAACTTCACTGCTGATGAGGCATGGGAAAAGTTTTCAAGCTACCATGAGTCGCTCAAGCCATTCAGAGACGCCACGAAAGGAATCTCAATTTATAAATGCTCTATAAAAGATTGTCTTGATGGTTTATACCATGCAATCAAATTGGGCTGGTACAACTTCAGCAGTTTCGACTTAAAATAAATACGAGCATTATGAGAAAGTAAATCATGGAGATATGAACTGGATAACTCCTAAAATTATCGCTTTCAGCAGTCCATCAGAAGAGGAGGAAGATGAAGAAGGTTACAAAACTTTTACTCCAGACGATTACTCCCCAGTTTTTGAGAGGCATAATATTGGCACAATCATTAGACTGAACAATCGGTCTTATAACGAGCAGCGCTTCATAGATAATGGATTTAAGTTTGAAGATTTATACTTCGTTGATGGCACTTGTCCTTCAAAAAGAATCATCAAGAAATTTTTGACCATTGCTGAAGCAGAAGAGAAAGGAATCGCAATACATTGTAAAGCAGGATTAGGAAGGACAGGAGCCCTTATCGGGCTCTATTGAATGAAACACTACGGATTCCCTGCAGCTGCCTTTATAGGCTGGATCCGGATCTGCAGACCTGGCTCAGTCCTTGGAACACAACAACATTTCCTTCTAGAAATGGAAAAAGAAATGTTTGAGCAAGGAGGGATAAAAGAAAAATCTTTGGCTGATGACATTGAAAATATCTCATTAGAAGAAAACAAATATGAGCAAGCAGATGATGATAAAGACACTAGTTATCGGGAAAAAGGACAAATTCTTAAGAATGCTCGAAAGAAACACCCTACAGCCTTATATGAGCAGGAGATAATTGGAAAAGCAGATAAAAAGGATGAAAATGGTCATGTATGGCCAGAAAGGAAACGTTCCATCCTTGATTAATATCCTATCATACATATACAATAGCATTTCAAATTCCTTTTGGCCTGTCGGGGTTTTGGGGTTTTGGGGTTTTGGGGTTTTGGGG